CATCCATCCATCATCCATCCATCATCCATCATCCATCCATCCATCATCCATCCATCATCTATCCATCCATCATCCATCCATCATCCATCATCCATCCATCCATCATCCATCCATCATCCATCCATCCATCATCCATCCATCATCCATCATCTATCCATCCATCATCCATCCATCATCCATCATCCATCCATCCATCATCCATCCATCATCCATCCATCCATCATCCAACCATCCATCATCCATCCATCCATCCATCATCCATCCATCCATTCATACATCCATCATCCATCCATACATCCATCCATCCATCATCCATCCATCCATCATCCAACCATACATACATCCATCATCCATCCATCATCCATCCATCATCCATCATCCATCCATCCATCATCCATCCATACATCCATCATCCATCCATCCATCATCCATCCATACATCCATCATCCATCCATCCATCATCCATCCATACATCCATCATCCATCCATACATCATCCATCCATACATCCATACAGCCATCATCCATCCATCCATCCATCATACATCCATCCATCCATCATACATCCATCCATCCATCATCCATCCATACATCCATACATCCATCAATCATCCATCCATACATCCATCCATCATCCATCTATCCATCCATCCATCCATCCATCCATCTATCATCCATCCATCCATCCGTCCGATGGTCCGTGCGTCCGTCCGTCCATCCATCCATCCATCCATCCATCTATCATCCATCCATCCATCCATCCATCCGTCATCCATCCATACATCATCCATCCATCCATCCATACATCCATCATCCATCCATACATCCGTCCATCCATACATCATCCATCCATACATCCATCATCCATCCATTCATCCATCATCCATCCATCCATCATCCATCCATCCATCCATCCATCCATCCATCCATCCATCATACATACATACATCATCCATCCTTCCTGTGTGACCTTTGACCTCTTCCTCTCTACGTTCTCAGGGTTTTTCTGCTCATTGATTTACAGAGCACCTTAAATGTGACCAGTTATGGGTGGTTGGCATTCAGAGAGCTGCAGCTGGGGGGTGGTGGGGTGGTGGGGGGGGGTCTGACAGGAGATCTGAGGGGGAGGGGGCAGTCAGCTGTGTTTTGATAAGATGAATAGGTGGAGATGAGGAAACAGTGAGGGTGGGGGCTTTGTTATTCTAACAAACTGATCAGATTTTAATAAGTTGATTCTTCTGGAGCTGCAGCAGCAAACAGCTCCAGGAGGAGGAGGAGGAGGAGGAGGAGGAGAGAGTTTCTCCTCTTCCTCCCCTGGGACTTCCTCCTCAGCACTGACAGTTAACGTCCATCACATCACCTGAGTTTCAGAGTTTCAGGTCCAGAGTTTGATCCTTTATTACCCTCAATCCTCAGAGAGAGTCTTACATTCAGGAAAAATATCATCGGGTCAGGAGGACCTGAACCAGGAGAACCAGGAGCCCACAGAGTCCTGCTCAGTCTGGATCAAAACCAGCCAGAAACTACCTGAAGAACCGGTCCAGAACCATGACAATCATACTGTCCAATAAGGAACAAAACCACATCTGAAACCAGTTTGAAAACAAATCTAAATAGATTTTATTTAATTTTTTACAAAGTTTTAAAATCTATAAATAAGTTTTATCACTTTATAAAAACAACATTTTAATGTTTTTGTTTTTCAGAGCGAGGAGGACGATACGAGGAGCGTCACCGCCTCATCCGTCACGGTGAGTTCATCAGATGAACATTTCACCAGCTGTGTGTGTGTTTGTACATATATGCTCCTTATGGGGACCAAAGCCTGGTCCCCACAGGTACAGATGCTGGGTGGGGGGTTGGGTTTAGGGGTCAGGCTGTAGAAATGACTGTAAAGTCCCCATGAGGATAGAAAACCAAATTGTGTGTGTGTGCTGAACAGCAGAAAGCCGTCAGGCTGAAAATAAACCGCACCCCCCTCGTTACCGTTCCCATGGCGACATCCCATCATCACCGCCGTCTGCGACGCAGCGCCGGCCTCTCATTGGCTGTGACGGCCCCCCGCTGCGCTCTGACTGGAAGCAGCGGGAAACTTTCTGCCCGGGTCGTCAGCAGAACTTTTGATCCGAGCAGAAAAAGCCCAAACTGCAGTTTTTTCTGACTGCAGCGTTTATTTCAGCTAATTTAAGGCGAATGTGAGTTATTTTTAGCTCCTCCCCCTGTCGGGCTGTGAGCAAACATTTAATTGGTTTTCGCAAATTAAAACCTCTTAATGAGAAAAAACAGATTTTAGATTTTGTGTCTGATTTTTGCTCCATCCTGTTTCTAAACTGGAACCTGCTCCGTGTTTAAAATGTTTTCTCGTGTCTGATGGCGAGCACGTGGGCCGGAGCCTCGCCGTGGCGTCGGGTTGAAGGACGGCCCCCCTCCGAGCCGCGCAGCTGCTGTAATTAACACGGAGGTTCCAGGTAAACTGTGACGACGACCCGGCAGGACTCTGATTAAAGATCCGAGTCCCGCTGACCTGTGAACAGCCGTGACCCCTGCTCGTCCTGCAGCCTGCCGGCCCCCGCCCCCGCTAAAGGACAAGGAGGACGCTGGACTGTGATTGGACGAAAAAGAACCTGAGATTTCAGCCTCAGACTCACTGAAGCTTCCTGCTGATTCAGCAACACGAGCTCCTGAGTTTTATGAACTCTGAGTTTCAGTTTCAACTGTCAGGAAACAGGAAGTGCTCTGATTGTGGCTCCGCCCCTCCAGTCTCTGTTCCACAGGGTGCAGCTGGATCCTCTGGAGAAGGACTGGCTGAGGAGTTCTGCCCTGGGAAACATGGCCGCCCAGCGTCTGCTGCTCGCTCAGGAGCCCAGCCTGGTGCTCAAGAAGGTCCGCTGTGGTTCTGACCGGGTTCTGAACTGTCATCTTCATTTATTTATTTATTTATTTATTTATTTATTTATTTATTTACTTACTTACTTACTCATTCATTCATTCATTCATTCATTCATTCATTCATTCATTCATTCATTCATTATTTCCTGCTCTCATCAGGACTTCATCACTGTGAGTAAAACATGAATCTGTCAAATTAAAGAACATTTTTAAAAACAAACATTTCAGCCACATGTTGGCTGTGTGTGTGTGTGTGTGGGGGGGGGGGGTCCTCTGAAGGCTGAACCCACCCCTACTGTAGGTGATTGGATGATTTTTAAATGTTAAACAGTTTAGAGCAGGGGGTCTCAAACCATTTGGGTCTGGGGACCCCCCCATAAACCAAATTCTGATTTAAAAGATAATTTATTGTCATTTCTACCCCTTAATGCCATAGGAATATATATTTTTATTAAGTTTATTATGTTTGTTTTATTAGTTCATTGTTCTCCATGCATTTTTAAAAATAAAAACCAAATCAACATTTTAGTAAAAATGTTTGAGGACCCCCAAGATACCTCCAGGGACCCCTGGGGGTCCAGGGACCCCAGTTTGAGAACCTCTGGTTTAAAGAGCAGAAAGTTTTTCATCTTTAATCGTCTCACTGATGTGTGAACTCACTGTGTTTGTGCTTGTGTGTCCTGCACACTTTGATGACATCATTCACACAGGGGGTGAGTTAATGTATACACAACCCAACAACTACACACAGACCAACAACTGTACACAACCCAACAACTACACACAGACCAACAACTGTACACAACCCAACAACTACACACACACCAATAACTGTACACAACCCAACAACTACACACAGACCAACAACTGTACACAACCCAACAACTACACACACACCAATAACTGTACACAAC